AGTAAGAACTTCGAACGAAGTGTTTCGTACTTATATCAATAGTTTTTTAGTATTTCGATGACTAAATTCTAACGCTAAGTGTGTTGACCCCTGATTTTATCGTGAAATAAATGTCAGATTCGGTTTTCTCGTGCCAAAAAACCCCCCAGTATACCAATTTTCCTAGCAATCGAATAAAAACAAATTTTTTCCGAAATATCACTCCAAAAAAGGCCGAAAAATCTAAAAAGAGTGAACTAATTTCTCAAAACCACTATTGAATTCCTCGGGTCCGAATTATGTAAAATCAGTTGTCAAAGTGAACAAACAATGTAAAAACATAGCACATTACAGTAGATTACAAAAGATATTAAAATATAGGTGGCCGCCAAAGTTCACAACTTTCTCAATTTTCACCAAATAAAACAATGTTGTCGTTTCAAAATTTGCATATCGGGTCAAAATTGAGTGCGCTTTCGATCTATGATGAAAAATGCCAAGCCAGTCATACATTTTTTCGACATAAATGACAATTAACTTCGATTTTCATCGATTTTTCCCCATTTTTCGAAGTTTAGTCATTCTGATCCTTGACACCGGAAGTCTATATATAATTTGGGGGTAAAAAAATAAACATGAAGGTCTATTACTGTAAATTGGTAGTCGGGGACATAATATGCATGTTAGCGGTGTAATTCAACATCTTTTGATCAATTTTTGTTAGATTGTGTCATCTATTTAATCGCTCGTTAAATGTTGACTACATGCAGTCATTTCAAGTGAATTGATTTTTGAAGTTTCATTACATGCACTCATTTTGAGTTACCGTTGACCCGTTGCAGTGACATTTCTTCGAGGTTATGGTCAGTGTTTCATATATCGCTATCAGTATCCGTAAGATAACTGAGAGGGATATATTCAGCCAGATATGAGTGTCAAAATTGTGTCAAAATTGCATTAGACACGCTTACCATCTCCAGTGTCTAATTTAGACAGTGTCATATCTGGCTGAATATATCCCTCTCAGTTATCTTACGGATACTGATAGCGATATATGAAACACTGGTTATGGTATCACAAAAAAATCATATCAAGCATCCATTTCATCTTAGTTCAAAGTAAACAAATGAAAATGAAAATTATCAAATCAATTGTTATTTTAATTGCCATAGTGCTCCAAGTTCGCGGAAACGTTTTGATGGATAAACTAAATAAACTTGGCCCCGTGAAAAAGTTCGACACAGCCGAAGACGCTGCAGAATATATCATAAAAGTGATCAAATTTAGCACCGATATCGGCTGTAATGCTTACAATTTTTTTTAGCGGTAACTCATTTTTTTTATTCATGACAGTTTTTTCAACAAGTTATTGATCATTTGTTGTTATAATATCGAAAAATGTTTTGATTATTTTTCTGAATATTCGCAGAGATACAGAAATTTGCAATGGCGATTGCACCAGATGACGCCCGATCCTTAGAATATACCGATAAAGTGCAATTTTTCATTGAACTGGGGAAACATTTGTCGAATACAGCTTGTGAAAACCTCGACATTTTTAATGGTAAAAAAAACATTTGAATTCATATTAAAGCGTTGATTATTATACACTTTCCCTTTTCAACCAGATTTATCTTGTACGGCATCAAGCACCACAATAACCACCACGTCTGAAAAGCCAGCTACGAATGCACAGAGCCATTTGGTTTTCAATAATTTTGGTACATATAACTTCCATGCAAATTCCCCATGCAAACCAGAAAAATGAGGTGGTGGAAAAACGGAAATGTTTCAATGCATTCGCAAATTTATTTGAGCGTAATACGTAAGCCAAAATAGTGTTAAAAAAAAAAACAAAAAAATACACGTCAATTCCATTTTTAATTTAGATTATCCGATGTATGTGAAAAGTATTAAAATTTATGTCAAAATCAATAAATGGGAATTTTAAAAGGTTATAATGCATCCTGGATGTCTTTTGAGATGTTTTCCTTTCTCTTCAAATCATCAATTTTCATTTAAATGTACAAAAAAATGTCCCCAGTATTATTATTAATCAAATGATAGTGTCGACGAAAACAACAACATAAGAAACGTAAACTTTTCCTACGACATAAATAGTTCTTTTGAAAGTACGTTATCTCACATTTTTTTTCTTGGTAGTTCACTTGAATTTAGACTAATTACAATTTATTGCTATCAAGCTAAAAAAATGACAATAATTTTGAAAAAAAAAAGAAAAGATTTGAGCAAAAACCATTCTAAAGTATTACCCGCAAAACGTATCCGAAACGAAAGAACGACATTTTCGAATGCACACGACTTGATTTGGAATATGCAATAAAATGTTCGCTTTCATTTAATAAATCTAATCAAATAAAATACAACTCAATTTTATCCAAACAAAAAATGTGTTTTGTTATTTTTAATCAAAAACTTTTAATGAAAAATCTTTTATCTTTTGCCTATTAGTCATTTTATATATCGTGTTTGTTGTCAATTAGATAAATAACGAGAGATTTGAAATGAATTCAAAAGTATGTTTGTTAATCTTTTTTATCGATACACATTATCACTCAAACGAGTGAGAAAAAACGCCGTAAACTATGCAATTATACAATGGCTCAGTTGACATTTCATTAGACCAGTTCAACGAAATAATTATTGTAATAAAAGGAGCTGGTTAGTTTAGTACTCTTTCTTCATAAGAACTTAAACATTAAAAGGTCATTAGTCGATTGTGACCCTGTATGAATTGGCATTTTAAAATTCATTGTGCTTTATACAGATCGTCGTGACCACCTGAAAACTGAAGAAAATTTCTCGGATTTGCGATTATTCCAACATGATGTTATGTTTTGCTGCGACACTGGCTGATGATGCCTTAATTTGGTGGAATGCTCCAATTGATACATATAATTCAAATATTGGAATAATTAGAAAGAAAACTCTATAAAAAAATTAGAGTAAAAACGCAAAATAATTTATTGAATGAACAAAATAGAAAGTAACATAATGATTAGTTGTTTAAATGAAAATCAACATATAGGTTAAAGGATTACTTTTATTTTTCCATAATCTTTAGTTATTTATGGTCGACCTTCTCTAACAGTAGCCATCAACTCATCTAAATATTTGAAAGTATGAATTCTCTTCACAACATACTTTTCTGTATCCATATAACGATATGCAAACACCTAAAAAATATTTTATGCATATGTATAAAATAGAATGGATCATGAGCCAGCTATACTTACATCGGTGATTTTATGATGATTTTTTTCGTGAATTAAGTTATAATTAGTGGGCATTTTTTTATTTAGTTCAAAATATGGACCAAGGACTGGTTCAGTGAGAGCACAACCAAAAATAAATGAACACATGTTTTACGGAAAACCAACCTACGACTGTCACCATTGTTAACATGAATAAAACTGAAAGAATGTTTTCGAGAATTGTTCGATATCTTTTTCTAATCCATATATTTAAAAAAAAGAAAAAACAAATGAAAATGAATGAAAAGAGCTTTTTAGAACGCACAAACACATTTATTATTTACCCCCCAAAGAATAAGACAATAAACAAGAAAATAAGCTAAAGTTGACATTGCGGTAGCCAGATTATAATAATTACAGGGTATTTCAAAGGTAAAACACAGTGATTATTTTTAGATCAAAATTTAGTTAAATGACATAGCAAATATTTTTGATTGAAAATTAAATTTCTGCCTTCACAGGCACATATCATTCTCTATACATATAATGACACCCTATACGCAAACTCTTTTTTGTCGATGATATTACTTCAATCACGAATTTTCACAACTAGCACACAAAGAAAGAGTTGTAAAGCTATAAACTTTCAATGAAAATCGATGAAAAAATTGTGTGTTCCAAATAGGGATAAAAATGTTAATACACAATGTGACACACGCAAACTTCTATCAATATATATTTTTTGTGCAAAAGCATATAGAATTATATTTATGATTAAATTATGATTTTGTTTAGACATTTTCATTCAAACATTAATATTTTATGCACGCAACGACATATTTTTCTGAGTAGTATTTTCATTTTCCAGATAAATAGAACTGTATGAAAATAATGATGTAAGTGCAACAAGCGGCAGCCATCTGAAAATTAAAATGAAAGTCTCCATTCAAAATAGGATTTGATTTAAAACGATCATCAATCTATTTACTCCAGCTAAAAATTGACGATCAATGATGAAGAATCCTTTGCCACTAATACTGATGTCGAGATTATTTATCTGGCTTAAGAGTTCCTGTTTGGCAAAGTGTAGCTTTTCATTGTCGCCAGCCCAGAACGTGAGTTTTTCAATATTTTTGATCAATTCGATTTTCTGGCGTAAAAGAAGGCGGATGAATTTTATAAACTCAAACAGTAAATAACCAAGAAATTACCTGAATGCTACAGTAATGGCAGGCATTTATCAAAATCGTTGTAGATACCACGGCACTCAAGAAGTTGCAGATTGGACCTGTTAACAAAAATAAAACCATGCAGTACATCTATGTATATCGAATTTAGTAAAAATGTCTATTTATGACTATTAAAGGCGATTAAAGGCGAGCAACAGCCAAAAATATTACTTATAAGCCGCATACAAGAAATGTGTTCTCTTTCCCAATAATAGAACATGAAGTAAATGGAGTATGACACATCGAAAAATGTTTGACCGCTGAATGCTGTGACACTTAGCCCAAAAAATTGGTTCAGTTCACGCGAAGCAATCCAAAGTTTATAGTGAATTTCTTTATAATACTTCAAATTGCATAATGTAGTATTGAAGTTTGGAAATATGAGATTCGATCGATTTAAATGATATGCAAATTGAACGTATTTTGCAAACATTTTGTATATAAAATGAAGAAAACTGATGACAAAAATCGTATGAAATTCGATGTAGACATGAATTGATTTGAGTATGCAAATGATTATTCGAAATTGTTTGGAAGTTGTACCGACTTCACTGCTTATCGGCCTTAACAGTGCATATATCAAATAAATCGCGTACAAAAAAGGAAATACTGCGGCTGAGAGGATGAATGAGCAAAAAAACCCGTGAAAATTAATCTTATGATTTAAACGTTTTTGAATTAGGTAATTTACAGCTCTCAGTTCAGTCCACAAATTATTAAAGTTGCCATAGTGTAGAATGGATGGTGTAATTGAATATAAAATCGATAGTATGTTAATAACGGCAATGGTTTTAACGTTAACGAAGGCAACAAAGTCAGAGTTAGTGCAATGGCTCAAGGGCAAAATACAAAAAATTAAAGCTAGATTTAGCAATGAATAAAGCAAAATGTGCTGTTTTAAGAACACTGATATTTTAATCATTCGCCGATTTAATGATGGAGAAAGATTACAAAGTGAATAGAAAGTTGGAAAGATAAACTTATAATAGTTCACTAAATCGTTAAATTCAATTGCTTTTTGTTTGAAAATCTTTGTGATAAATGTCATTTTCAGTTTGAAATGAATCAAAATATTATTTGGAGTAAAAATGTTAAAATAAAACGCTTCCAACTACTCTTTATTGGAATTAGAGAGTCCCAATCCCATTTTCAGTCCATATAATAAAAACTAGCTAGTGCACAGAGATAAATCAAATTAATTTGTGTATTAATTAGTAACGTGGATGAACGAACAATAAGAGCGTACATAAATATTTGTTCACAACTTATCAAAAATATATATAAACTATTACGTTAATTGGATTCTTTTTTATATATAACGATGTTATCTAACATCACGGTTAATCAGTTGACTAGTAATACAATTATAAAATTTATCAAGTGATTGTTCTGACCAAAGAAGAGAAGAATTACGAAAAATATTTGAGTGAAATCAAGAGAAATAATGGTGTACACTTATTTAAACCTAGAAATATGCATTTATTTTTTCAAGTTTGCAAAAAATAAATACATACTCATGATTCGTTTGTTCTCTGCAAGATTGTCTTCATGCAGTTCTAAAATAATCCAATAGACTGTCTGAATGGCTGTGTTGGTATTTTGAATGATGAGCAGAGTGAGAACAGTGCCAAAATCTTTATTAAATATGTTCCGAATGATCCACATTTTAAAATGTATTTCTTTCAATATTTTAAAATGTTCAATGACTTTTTGGCATACACTTTGTGTCTTTTTTACGTCAATAATTAAGGTATCGTATTGATCGCTTGCAATCAAATTCGATGCACGTTGATTGATTGTTTTGAAAATGAAATTGAAAAGATCAACATGGAAAAGGATGTGAAAATTCACACACAACGTTAATAACGATAGATTTAAAACACCGATTTGCCTTAAAATATTCTCAAAATTAGTTCGATGAATTAATTTGATTGCTACTAAACTACCAAAGAAGAACACCATGCAAATCAATTTATTCGTGTAGGTGCCGATAAATTTTTCAACATTTATTTCAAATTGAAGTCGTTTTAAGACAAACTCTTCCAAGTCTGCATATTTACAAACGTATTTCTTGTCACGGTGTTGAAATGACGAGCGTTTAAAGGCCATAAGCCCGGTGGAAATCATAAATGTTACATATATTGCATAAAGAAAATCATTTAACGAAACTATCTTTTTTCCAAATAAATCAAATGAAAAAATTCCGTTCAAAATAGTAAACACCATTAAGCATATCGCTGGAATAGACTTTTTAATAAGTAGGTTACTCTTGGGAGGATCTATGTCACGTGGATTATAAACACTCAAACCGAACAAGTAGAAAAAATACAAATATCTTTCGTAAATCTTCGACAACAACATTTTTACGTGAATTCTTTTCAACCGAAAGACAAACTGATTTAAATTGCTATTAACGAAAAATTGTTTCACTCTTGATTAACTAATTTTCTATACATAGGTAAATAAACAATATTTTATTTATTTTTCTAAGTACACTGGGGAACTGTTGACAACAAAAATA